GAAACAAAGAACCCTGAAACTCTCATCTATTACAGTAGCTCTTAAATAAAAGAAAAATTGTATTTTCTCAGTAAGGCAGCATTTTTATGGTCACTTATTAAATTACTTTTGCAAATAATCCAAAGATTATCACTAATTTTGAAATCATTTGATTCCTGTTATTACATAGTATGATTTGTGAAATTATAACTGATGTTAATTTAATTTAAACTGAGAAATTTCACTACCAAAATTTTGCAAGATAAGAACAATTGTGTTGTTGTTAAGGGCCATGGAGTCAGTTCCACCTCATAGAGACCCTGTGCAGAGTTTCTAAGGAGCAGCCGGTGGGTTTGAAATACAGACCAGTGCTGATCCTACAGTGTCACACCAGGGATTCATAAGAAGGGTAAACACCATTTTTTTTCTTTTAAATAAAAATACACATACATTATAAATAAAATAAGAAGAATCATCATATTAAACACTTACCTTTATTAGTTTTCTTTTCAGATTTATCCTGCTCTTTGGACTTGTCTTTGTGTATTTCTAGAGGCAAATTGAATTCATAATTTAAAAACTTTCTTTGAAAGGATACAAAATCCAAAACCATAGCTATTATTTAAAACTTATTATCCCACCACAAAGTTTAAATTATTTTAGCTAATAATATCCAAGGTGTCTAAAAGAAGAGTCTTTGTAACATATTGCTACATAAATTATTTATTGAAGAGCTTTCCTTATTGAAATCAGGGGAGATTGAAGTTATCTCAAAATTAATAATTTTCAAAAACTTAAAAACTTATAATGACAGATATGTTGCCACCGTTCTCAAGGCTAAAATTGATCACAAACTAAAACTATGTTTTATTTCAATTACTGCCAACACAAATTTAAGAATCCTTAGTAAGAATGTAATTTAGAATTAGGAACATTTCGTTTTTGCATGTTAAATTAAGAATTTGTGAAGTGAACTGTGACAACTATCTAATAGAAAATATATCTCAGAAGTATTTAGTCTAAGCTATGTTTATAATCAGCATTTGGCAATGCATTTAACCAATAATTACTACAAACAGATGTAGAGCATTTCAGAGAATAAGTTAGTTGTTATATTTTTTCCTAAATGCCAGGATTAAGCTAATTTATTCAATTTACTGCTAGCTTCAGTATACATCTTTTGCCAAGGATTAGAAAAAGTAGTTACATCTGACTTTGCAGTTAATTTAGATTGAAATAAATTTCAGATTAGAGTTTACAAATATGATTACTAACTCTAAAAAGTCACTTAAACTTAAATATTATTTTTTTCTTGGAAAAATGCTAATGAGCTTATTTATTTATCACAACTTTATTCCACAGATGCTCTGAGATAGTAGTAATTACTATACACATTTTCAATTCTCCACATGTAAATTTGCATTTAAAAAAAATTTTCCCCCACAAATGTAATAAATCAAGACTAAACCTAGGGAAACCCAAAATATTTTCAAAAAGATAGTTATCAACTTTCGTTCTAGCCTTAATTTTCCCTTTAATAGACCTATTATTCGTAGGGTCATCTTCTCTATTCCGTCTCTGAGTTTGAAGCCCCCACCCACAAGGATAAAACAACAGCAAGGAATATGGCAATGACTATGTGAAAGACTTAAGATGCTCAATCACGTCCTTGAAAAATATTGTCCAGGAATGAGGAGAAGTATTAAAAGGGCAACCTAAACTTCCATCTCCCTGATTCTCATTTTTTTTTTTTTTTAATCACTTCATTGGGTATCTCTAAATTTTTACTATACATAAGGGTTTCTATGCATAAGCACTACTGAGTTTTTGGAATGGATAACTTTTTTTTTAATGTTTTATTGTGAATTATGTGATAGTTTACATGGCAAAACATTAGCTTTACATTCATCCTAT